ATATTTAATTCTGAGATTTTTGATTCGATTACCAATCCCTTTAATTAATAATCAAAGAGTGTGTAAAATACAAAGTAAAATTGAATATTCGAAATGTAATATAAATTGTACTGCAAGGGTCTGTAACTTAATTCCTTTTCAGGGTTAAATCTGATGTTAAACAGAAAGGTAGTAAGATCAAAACGATGTAACAAAGCTGGTTCTAAAATAGACGAAAAAATTTGATATAATAATTTTTCCGCCCGAAGCTTCGTTTTCGAGAAAATCGAGTTTGAAGTGATATAAATGACACAACAATAGTTCTTGCGAACTATTCATTTCTTTGTTTTATCGCAAGCACTATTGGAAATATCACCCTCGTTGCCATGCATGTAACTCGATCCGACGAATTAAGGACAAATTAGTGAATTTTGAATGTACTTTCGCCTTCCAATTTATCAAATTACCGCAAGAGCTTTTCCTTCTTGCCGTTCAATACTTTCAATTTGAGTGGAACAACTATTCTTTGATAACTTGCTCTTTCCCACGAATGTTCGTAACATAAAGACTCATTAGACAATGGCTTACATAAACAATAGAAATTTCGTCATAGTTGAAGAATCAACACAATACGATTCAAACAATAGTTCCTTCGCAAAGATCGACGTATCGAGAAACCTCAAAGAGGTTTCCACCGAACTCCGAACCACGAAACGAAACGAAACGAAACGAAACGAAATGAAACTCATGGTCAACCAACGCAAAACAACGAGAGCCGTGAGCAGCGCGAGGCAGAGTCACGCATTTCCCTTCGCGCACCCGTGAGACTCTCTCATCCCCCGATAATTCGAAAAAGCCGCAGCTTCTTCGCCGCCGTTTCAGAAACACGGTGTTCAAACGATGATCACGTAGGCTCGCGGGATACACACGCTTAACCACAACGGAACCACGACCGAGTGGAGTGGTGAAATGTTGTAATCGGCCGGTTAGCGTGGCCCGCGCGTTTCTACATTCCACGAGTTTGCAAGATTCGTCGTGGATTTCCACCGAGCCGGAATAGTTTCCACGTAGGTGGATATGTAATCGGTTAAGAGCCAGATTCATGTCCGAGTATCGGCTTTTAACCGAGAACTCGTGAGGAAGGGTTTCTCGAATTCATAAGCGTGCTAGGACAACTGGCGACTTAAGTACAAAAATTCGTAACAAAGTGACGAATGATGAAACCGAAGAAATAGAAAAAAAAGTTGATAATATGATAAAAGAATGCAAGTTTCTAGTTGTACACATATTCACTTCAATTTTCCGCAAATATATATCTATACAAATCCGCATTCTGATTGTAATATATTATCCAGTTATCTATAAATATATTATCTATTTAATTACATTATATTAACACCAAATTTTGTTTTTATAAAATCTATGAGAATGATACAGCGATCATACGCAATGCAATTATTATATTTTTTAGAATAACAATAGAGTTCGTTATTATTGAATGTATCTTGCTTATTTTTGCACAAACTTTTTTTATACTCTCAGAAAAGAATCTACTTCTTTCAATTTCTTTCCTGGTTCTTTTCACGTGTGATTCTTGAGTGATTCTTTTTAATCTCATCAATCCAGTCAAGTACATTACGTAAAAGAGTTTGAAGACCATTATCTGTTGAAAGTCTTGATATTTGAAACCTGTTTCAAATTTGAACGAAGATCGATCGATGTCAATAAATAAGAGTTCAACGCTACAGACAAAATTGCGAATAATTATTGAACTACCCTCGCCTAACATTTAAATTCCTTCTCTCCCGAATTGTGATTTCTGAGCGATGTCTACTTACAACGCTTACAAAAGATTGCTCCTCCAAAGAAGAGCAAGTCGAGTGGAACCAGCGGGAACGCAACGAACTCGTAAGACGACTACCGAGTTACCGCGGGCCGTTCCAAGAATAATAACACAAACGGCAGAATATAGGGGTATGGACGAGTTCCTCGTCGGAACCAGGACGTAGAGCGGTCGACCTCCCTCTATTCGTATGGACTTACGTTTTCATCGGACGCTTGATAAACGGCGACATAAATCCAGCGGGCAACGTTCGTTAGAATGGATCTCTCCCTGAGCGTGGCTTGCTCTTCATCATCGTTTCTCTGGTTACAGACAAGAAGGTCGAACGAAAGAGAGAAGGCAAGAAGAAGAAGAAGAAGATGATGATGATGATGATGATGAGGAAGAAGAAGAAGAAGGAGGAGAGGGGCGAAGAGGGGAGAAGAGAGGAGAAGGCGTTCGTGTATAAGCCGCGTGTAGAAGTGCGGATACCAGAGCGATCGCGTGGGCGTTACACGTTCTCTTGTTATGGGGACCCATCGTATTCTCATGTAGATCGAGCTCTGTCCACACCTCGGTCTCCCGGGCATAAGGTGATTCCTATGCGAACGTCGATATCCTCTGTAAAATCCTCAACTATAGAACTTCTCTGTCTGTTATTCTAATTCTGATAAATGCGATTTAAAAATGAAATGCGATTTAAGAATGATAAACTCTTAAATCGCATTTCCTATGCACGTTTTTCGCATACAGTAATATGAGGAGTTTATAACGTGACGATAAATAAAATTTTGAGATTTCTTCCA